AGACCTACCCCAGCTCAGCAAACAAAGGACAAGGTAGAGGAAGGACAGGTTAGCATGGCACTGAGGAATATAGGAATATTGACTGTACCACTATACCAGTATACTGAGAATGTACCCCTGCTGGAGAGAGGTGTGAGAGTGCTTGCTCTGGCTTACCACTCTTTCTTCTGAGACTGGGAGGAATTCTGAGTGTCACGTGCCTTAAGTTCAGACAAGGAATACATCCCTGGGATCCTGGGAGCACGTGTCTGACAGCTAGGCCTCTGCATGCTGCAGGTGTTGCTGGGACTGGGAGGATGTGAACAGGTGCAGGTGACTTCTCTTCTTCCCAAAGAGGCTTTGCAAGTTTTCTCCACTCTACCCTTCCTTGGGAAGAGCAGTACCTGGTGTGTCCAGTGATGGCCTCTCTTGTGTCTTTGAGATTTATTATCAGAGTTTCCAGGAAGGGTTGGTTAATTCTTTGATTATTTATGGTAGCTTTTTCTGGCCAGTTTTCTAAGGGCAGGCAGGACATGCGGGATCCTGGCTTTTCCTGCAGAAGGCCTATGTATCCTCCAGACACAGGTTCACCTCTCAGCCCTTGAGTCCCCACAAATGAGTCTCCATCAAGGGTAGAGTAACAATCATTCATTCTCTGCAAGCCTATATTTTCATAGGCTTTAGCAACATTTCTCAAAATGGAGAACTCAGCGGATGCCTAAGCTATGCCTCCCTTGGGGATGCTCAGGCCTGGTTAGAGAAATACATTAAGTTAAATTGTTTTCTTTCACTTGGGTTGATCAATCAGCATGAACAACATTGTAAACACAAAGAGGAACTCGTACCCTGAAGGGAGATGGTACTACCTGACTGTAAGGTAGCTTCCCATGACTCAGAAGGTACTGGGGCTGATTGTGATTTTTTTTTTTAAGTTGTCAGAATGAGACAAAAATTTAAAAATGCCTTTTTAGAACTCATGGAATTTTACCCCCTCCAGACCACACCTGCTTCCCAGGACGTTCATGGATTTCCAGATGTTGTTTTGAGGAAGAAGAATGTAGAAGAGTCTTTCACCCATCCAGCAAGACCTCCCTCTGCAGCAAGAGCAAGAGATGGCCTGGCTGGGGCTTTGATCCCAGAGCAGGGTCAGACTAAACAAAGGTCACCCACTGACCACACAGTTCGGAGTTTAGAGGACCTTGGAAACCCTTTCTCCCAAGGCCATCTGATTCATGACTGTATTGTCAACATCCCATTCCATTACTAGACACAGTTCACAGCTCAGTTGCTCAGTCATGTCTGACTCTTTGCGACCCCATGGACTACAGCATGCCAGGCTTCTCTGTCCATCACCAACTCCAGGAGCTTGCTCAAATTCATGTCTGTTGAGTCGGTGATGCTATCCAACCATCTCATCCTCTGTCATCCCCTTCTCCTGCCTTCAGTCTTTCCCAGCATCAGAGCCTTTTCCAATGAGTCAGTTCTTTGCATCAGGTGGCCAAAGTATTAGAGTTTCAACTTCAGCATCAGTCCTTCCAATGAATATTCAGTACTGATTTCCTTTAGGATGGACTGGTTGGATCTCCTTGCAGTCCAAGCTAGACATTTCCTATTAATGCACGGTCTTTGCATCCCAGAGTTGGTCTAGAATTTTTACTAACTGGTTTTGCTCTTGACATCTGGGACCACATTGATTTTTAAAAGCCCCCAGAATATTGGGGACCAGGGTATATAGGCCTTATTTGAGCTCCTTTGTTAAATAAATGGATGTAAGATGTTCATTGGAGCAGACAGTGAATGTACTGGTTTGCCCCTGAAAATGCACAGATGGGTGAAATGGGGATTTGGAGAAGAAGCACAGATGGAGAAGTCTTTTCAATTTGATTTGTCACTGAGCAGAGACCTGGAGTTGCTGAGGGTGTCAAGACTCACAGATGCGAACACAGGGAGGAGGAGTGATACAGACACGTGGCAGGCACAGTTGGCAGGGAATGTGCTCCTGTAGGGTTCAGACACACAAAGAAGGATCCAAGCCAGGGTGGGATGGACACTTCAGCACAAGTTCCTGGTGTGCTCCCATGGGAACACAGCTGAGTGCTGTGGGATGGATGAAGACTCAGTGCTGTCTCCAAATGAAAGACTGCTGTTTCCTGTCTCTGCCCTTGATGTGCTGAGCCAGACATTTCTCTCTGAATTTTGCATGGGACTTGATCAAGTGAGTGTTTTAGTACTGTTGCTTCTCTTGAAATCAGTTTTCTTGAGGGTCCCACCTAAATGTAGATATCATAACTTTGCTTTTGTGGGTTCTCGCTATTGAGAGTTTAGTACAAAGTTCTGAGCACAAGGGCTTCCCTGATAGCTCAGTTGGTAAAGATCCGTCTGCAATGCAGGAGACCCCGGTTCAATTCATGGGTTGGGAAGATCCGCTGAAGAAGGGATAGGTTACTGCTCAAGTATTCTTGGACTTCGGTTGTGGCTCAGCTGGTAAAGAATCCGCCTGCAATGTGGGAGACCTGTGTTTGATCCCTGGGTTGGGAAGATCCCCTGGAGGAGGGAAAGGCTATCCACTCTAGTATTCTGGCTTAGAGAATTCCATGGACTATACAGTCCATGCAAAAATTCGGACACGACTGAATGACTTTCACTTTCTGAGCACAAATGTTACATCTGAAGAGTTTTGTTTTTAAAAGCATTTACTGGTCTCTGTCACATTGTTTTCAACCAAAACAGCTTTCTAGGGGCACTAAGTGACATGGTTAGAGTCGTCAGATAAACCAGTAATGAGATTCCTTGGCCACTAGATTGTTATGTAAAATATTGGAAATGTGTAGCTTTTTAGTTGGCTGATGAAATTCACTCATCACTTGAATTTACATGCCAGTGGTGTGTTTGAAAGGTATACTGGGGACGGAGGGTAGACACTGACTATTTTTAGAGGTGTGGTGGGTTACTTATGCCTGGGTAGCTCAGCTCCCTGTGGCTATTGTTGATAAGATGGAGACACACCCCACTGGCCTCGAGGTAGTGTGCCCCTTGCTTGGCTGCCTCAGTGGGGAACCCGGAGGTGGTAGAATATTTTGGTCCACACTGCGTTGTGCTTGTGGAGATCTGAGGCTGGTGGCTCAGAACCTGCTCAGCTCCGCTGTGCCCGCACCATGCTGTGATGTGTGGAGAGGGAGAACCTGCAGTTGTCCATGACTGGGGATCCCGCCTTCTTTCCCTGCTGTCTCAGATGGAGAAGAGACAGTTCTACCCATTCCTTTGGCAGGTTGAGCTCTCTGGGTAGGTCCATCTACTTAGCGAAAAAGAACCTGCTTCTAGAACCACCCCATCGTATTAGAATGTGGTGCTTAATCAGGCGAGTACACCAAGGCAGTCATGGAGGACAATATGTGAAAATTTGGCTTGTGCTCGGCTGCTTGCTGCCTAGTTGGCAGGTGGGCAGGATGGAGCCTGTCACTTGCAGCTTCCATTGAGCTGTGCTTAGTCACTCAGTCGTGTCTGACTCTTTGTGACCCCATGGACTGTAGCCCGCCAAGCTCCTCTGTCCATGGGATTCTCCAGGCAAGGATACTGGAGTGGGTTGCTATGCCCTCCTCCAGGGGATCTTCCTGACCCAGGGATCGAACCCAGGTCTAACCCAGGTCTCCTGCATTGCAGGTGGATTCTTTACCGACTGAGTCACTAGGGAAGCCCTTCCACTGGCACTGCCTAAATGACCAGTGGCCTCCCCAGCCCAAATGTGCACAGGCCATCACTGTTAAGTCCTTGGGACTATGAAGAGGGGCTGAGCCACGCTTATCAAACAGGAAGACGGGGATGACTTACCTATTCCCTATTACCCACTAGACATCTTTCCTATGAACTAATTTTGAGTGCGGGTGGCTGAAGAGCTTAATCGGATGCTTTGTTGTTGATGCAACATGCTGATGTTGACATGGGAGATGGTTGGCGTTGAATGGCCACAGTAGGTTCAGCTGCCATCTTTTCACACTCACCCACAAACCATCTCTTGATGCTCCTGCCAGAGAGAGGCCTTCGGGCAGGGGCATGAATCATGGGGCTTGAGTTAATGTAGTATTTTTGCATTATCATCAGATACCAGAGAAGCATAACAGGACAGAGGTGATGCTGGATGGGCAAGTCTCTTAAGGTGATATCCTTCAGACAACATTATAAGGCATTAAATACTTTGTGTGAAAGTGAGACTTTAAGACACAGAGGGAAGGAGGTCGCAATGTCCATAACTAGCTCCCTAGTGAGCAGGGGCACAGGTCTCAGCCTATAGCTGCTCCCCCAGGGGAACTTTGCCTTAGGGTCTGAGTGCAAAGCTCTTACTCTTTATTTTCTCCCTCCTTTCAATCCCATCATTCTTAATACCATATCTAACTCAAGGAATTTGATTTTTGAATCACAACTCAAAAACCTCTTGTTTGAAGGATAATTCCAATTTATTAACAAACCAGAATAAACAGCACAAAATGACTGTGAAAGACCAAGAAAGACAGACAGGGGTTCATTCAGCCCAACTCTCCTGGGCATGCTGGGATAAACCTTCCCTGTGCCTCTTGGATGGTGCCCCTTAGATGGGGAAGGCCCGTCCTGCAGGAGCAGGGTGAGCACAGTTCCTCTCTGCTTCTGCCTCCTGTGTGGGAAACTCTCTCTACTCCCCCACTCCCCAGAAAGTTCCCCTCTGCAGGACCATAAACCTGCACATCTAAGACTTGAAAACCATTTTTCCACTTTGCTGCTATACTTTTTCACACCTTTGGATTAATTTTTACGAATTAAACTGTGTGTTTGAAACAGCACATCTTGACACAGATTGCAAAACCAGCCTGTTAGAAACTATTGTTCTTTTCTCCACTGCCTGATAGTCTAGACCCAGGTTGATCCCCACAATATGCCAAAGAGAAACTAGTAAGACCTCATATTAGAGTTATTAAAAGCATGAACATAGTCTCATTTGATCCTCACAGCAACCCCGGGAGGTAGGCAGGTGGGCACTCCTTTGGATTAATTTTTACAAATTAAACTGTGTGTTTGAAACAGCACATCTTGACACAGATTGCAAAACCAGCCTGTTAGAAACTATTGTTCTTTTCTCCACTGCCTGATAGTCTAGACCCAGGTTGATCCCCACAATATGCCAAAGAGAAACTAGTAAGACCTCATATTAGAGTTATTAAAAGCATGAACATAGTCTCATTTGATCCTCACAGCAACCCCGGGAGGTAGGCAGGTGGGCACAATGGTTCCAGGATCCAGAGAACCAAGTCATAACTGATGGAGTTGGGAACCAAATCTATGTACTCTGACCCCTGGTCCAGGGCTCCTTCCACTCCACAAGGTGAACTGGGCTCACCCTGGTGAGCAGGGCGGTTTTTCTGCTCAGGAGAGGTGAGATGTCCTTTGGGCTTGCAAACAGAGGAGATTTTAAGTACATACCTCAGCAGATAGCTCAGAGGGTAAACACACCTGAGCTCAATCTAGCATCAACATCAGAGGGATGAACAAGACAGACATAGGCATCTTTGACAAGGGTCTCTTCTTGTTTCCTGATTCTCATGTGGAACACACTGGGTGCTGTAACATGAATGCAGCGAAGTCCAGGAGGAGGGAAGGCATTCAGAGGACTTTTTCATCTATCAGTTTATTGATTCCCTCACAGATCTTCTTGAGGTTGGGCCTACAGTCTCCATCAAGGCTATAAAGGGTGGAAAGGAACTCCACATTGGCAAAGTGGTTGAAGACATGATTGATGCGTCCGTGGGTCCTGGGTGTCAGGTGTCGCTGCACCAGTTCATGCACCAGGTCCTTGCACTCGTGTAGGAGCTTGGAGAGCACGTTTCGATCGAAGGTGTATTCCACCTCATAGAAACTGACGATGGTCATGGCGGTCTGGTTCAGCTTCTTCCTAAACTTCTCCACTATAACAACTTCCTCTGGGCTGAACTGGTTGTTCCGGTAGAGGATCCCGATTTTGATTGCCACCTTGATTAAGTCTTTCATGATCTTGTGGGCTTCCTTCTTGTTATGTATGTGCTCTTTGGTGACTTTGTAGAGCTCATCGAAGATCTCGCTGCTGGTATCATCAATCAGCATGTTGGCCACAGTTTTGCTGGCTATTTTGCTCAGAATCTTCTTCTGGGCTTGAAGGGCAAGGTTCTTTGAACTAAAAACATCAGGACCTATGGTAAGAAAAGAAATAAAAGTTATATAAATAGGAGAACCTTTGATTAAGTTTCTAGAAGTGAAATATGCTAACTTGAACTTATGTTCTTAGAGCAAAAATTCATGCCTTCATAACCCATGACTCTTTTATGAAACCCCACCCTAGCCTGGTTACTCCACTATCCTTAACACATGATATGCCTGTTTACCTTCTTGAACCTTTTAAATCGTGCTTTATTCCTTTCTGGACATGGTCTTCTCTTGTCCAGGCCAGATCTCATCCTTTTGACCTACTTTATGCAGAAAGCCTCCTTGAATCTATTTGCTCATGGAGAATTCCCTACAATAATTATTGTATTGGAAACCATTCAGTTTTGCAAATTTACAGGAGGAAATTATTGCTTAGTGATAAGAATGTAGCACCAGTGCCAACCCCATTCCTAGGACAGACCTGGGTGGTTAATCATGGGAGTGTTTTTCGACTGAGTCTTAGAATCCGTATTCATTGAATCTAAGATGTATTTTTTTCACATTTGATATCTTGGAAGTAGTGATCTGTCTTATAGTCACTGTTGCCAGGTGGTAGTTGTGCTGTGGTTGCATTACCTGTGTGTGCATCAATTTAGACAATAGGAGACAGAGATTTGAAATAAAAGTCATGAGTACTCTTGAAAGAAATGTTGCCTCACCAATGCTCTTGATGACAGAGAACTACACTGTGTGGGAAACACAGACATCAATGCTCCGAGCAAAGATGCTTCAGCCAAATAGTACCCTGAATATGAGGAAGCTTAGAAAAACCAAACCCAGTTTGGTTTATAAACGAATGAGAACAATATATGTTAAAGGAAATAACATGATGTATGTGTGAAGTCTCTCAGTCATGTCCAACTCTTTGTGACCCTGTGGACTGTAGCCCATCAGATTCCTCTGTCCATGGGGTTCTCCAGGCTAGAATACTGGAGTGGGATGCCATTTCCTTCTCCAGGGGATCTTCCCGACCCAGGGATCAAACACAGGTCTCCCACATTGCAGGCAGACGCTTTAACCTCTGAGCCACCAGGGAAGCTTAACACTATGTATAAGTAAGTCTAAAAAGAATCTTCTAATAAGAAATTGGACACAAAACTAAGCTATAAGAAACCAATCATTTGTAATTTAATTGGAAATATTTTCTTCTTTCTTAAGAGCATATAAAATGGCCTCTTATAATTGATGGGGTCTTAGACTGGATGGAATACTCCATGAAGTTACCAGTTAGCTGAAACTGGTATATGAAATGAAACCCATTGGCGATCTTCATTCAACAGTATGTATGTGTATCATTCTTATCTTTCCAAGGAGAGTCGAGTTGCCTAAGGACAGAGACAGCATCTCCCACAGCACCTAGCTCAGTCCTGGGCACAGGGATGGAATGGCATTTGTTAAGTTAAATGCTAGAGAAATTCTGCCGAATAAATTTCCCTTTGAGAACTGAGGGCCCTCTAGGATCCCAAGAGTTCTTTTCCAGCACTCTGTGGCTACATGGAAGTGACAGGCAGCATGGACAGACAGATGGCCACACACACCAGCTTTTGCAATCCTCTCTGGCCCCTCCCCATCTCAATCCTACCCCCTCTGCTCACCCTGATTCATCCCCTCAATGGAATGCCATTAATCCCTGGGTGCGTAAGTCTCACAAACATGGACTCAGTAAATAGTCAGACACAATTCAGACACAGGCCCCAGCTCTTCCTCCACCCATATGCCCCTTCATGGACTGGCTCCTTCCTTCCTAGCTCAGCCCTGGGTCTTCCCAGGACAGCTACTCCTGCTCACGGACCTCTTCCAGCTTTCAGTCCCAGGGGCATGGCCTGGAGTGGGGTCACTAAAGTGGGATCAGTAGAACTAAAGAAGCAGGGACCATGGGTCTCCCACGGCCCCTGGAGGCTCTCCTGAATGTCTGAGAACATAGATTCTTCAAGTAACTTCAGAGCAAATGACCCTGACACAGCCGGGATTTTCCCTTCAGCCTCAGTGTGAAGGGAAGAAACATCGATTTTTGACTTTTCCTTACTCTGAGATTAATGGCCTTCCAGAGCTGGAGACAAAGAATATTCCTGCCCAGTCTGATCATCTACCATGGTCATCAGACCTTTGTGTAGATAACTTTTGTCCCCAAAACATCACATTCCTCCTCCCCATACAAATATTTACCAGCATTAAGGATGTTTAAAAGATTGTGCTGCATGCTTTGAAGTCAATTCCACAGGAGAAACTTAAAAAAAAGCTTTGGCTTTTAAGCTTTGGCTCTGTCACCAAAATAAGTGTATGCCTTCTTAGGTGGATATTCTGTTGGGAAACAATGGAATCCAGATGGATCTGTTCTGGAATATCAAAAAACGATTCATTTCTTTGTAGACACAGTTCCCCAAAATCGAGAAGATATTTTTTGAAGAAGCACTCTAGAAATACAGCACAGAAGCAACTGACCAACTATGTGTCTGATGGAATATAAGCTCTATGGGAGCAGGGGTTTGTGTCCAAGCCCCACTGGACTCAGTGGGCCCCCTGGACCCAGGTGGCCCTTGGCAGCTATTGTTGAATGAGGGAACACTGGCTCTGAGTCAGGCACTTCGTGGCTTTATCCCTGACATCTGCGGGAAGCTGATGTTTTTACCAAGGCTTTCTTGCTAGCCAGATTCCAAACCCTGTTCTTTTTACCACTAGCATTCTTAATAGTTTTTCCCAGAGCAGGGGTCATCACACCTTTTGTTCTTATATCCCCATAAGAATTTTGAAAAGCGAGTACCTCCTTGCATATTTTTTAACTTGACAGCGAGTTATTTTTCACCTTATGGTTAAACAGTTATAATTTCAAAATATATTACATGTCTAGATATTTTAAATATTGATACTTTAAAATCAATGTGTTAAATTATTCTTTTAAAAGTGTCCAGTGTACACAGGACACACCACAGTGATATAACATCCATTATTGTCCATTTGAAAATGACAGGAGCAAGCTCTCCTTTAAAAAGAGCTGCAACATTGTTCTTTTTTCTACTTAAAATTGTGTATCTATGACATCTAAAGAACTTTAACTTAGTATCTGTTTTTATGCTTGAAAATGTTTTATTTGATCAAGACATCATAATTCTCTATAACCAAAGGATACATAAAAATTGAAATTTAAATTAAATTCTAGTGATCAAAATCTCCAATCCTTAAAAAAATTCCTTAAAAAGTTATCATTCTAATTATTTTGGATAGAAGTATTAAGCTGTTATAAATACTAAACATAGAAAATAGTTTTATTGGACATGTACCTCCAAGTGAGATCAGTAGGGGCACGTCATCACTTTGTTTGACCAGGTTTTGCACCCCAGTGCAAATGTATAGATATTTGTCCCAATAAGATTCTTTATGGGTGGGAACTCCATGATGGAAGGATCACTGCACTTTGACCTCAGACTGTTGTTCTGACAGTTGAATTTAGAAGAGTATTGAAGTGAGAAAGAGGAGTTGGACTTAGATATCGATTCCCTCAAAACTCTCCTCATCTGCTCATCGCGTGGCAAGTTTCTGGACTCACCATGGTGCACACACCAATTTGAATCCTGCTCTTTTGTAAGAGCAGTGTTGTTCCATAAGATGTTAAGTGCTGTTCTTTTCAGAGGAATAAAGAGTTTCTTTTCTTTTTTTTAAAGTTTTACTCCATAATTATAAAATATTGGTTAAATTTCCTGTGTTGTACAATATATCCTTGTAGCTTATTTTATACATAATAGTCTATACCTGTTAACCCCCCCACCCCTATTTTGTCCCTCCTCTTTCCCTCTCCAGAGGAAGGTTGCTATGGTAACTGATTGTTTGTTCTCTATATCTGTGAGTCTGCTTCTTTTTTGTTATATTCACTAGTTTGTTGTATTTTTTAGATTCCATGTATAATGGGTATCATACAGTATTTGCCTTTCTCTGACTTATTTTACTTAGCATAATACTCCCTGAATAAAGAATTTCTTGATCAAAAAGGTTTGGAAAACACTAGGTTAAGCAATATTAAACAGATTTTTTTCCTATGAGACTTTAAAAATATTTCTTTAATATATTAAGGTGTTTTATCAGCTATCAGAGATGGGTGGGTATAATTGGTAGAATAATGATCCCCAAAATGTCCAGATCCTAGTCTTGGAATCTGTGCATGTACTACCTTACCTGGTAAAATAGACTTCTTAGATATGACTAAGTTAAGAATTTGGAGATGGAGAAATTACCCTGGATTAGCCAGTAAGCCTGATGAAATTACAAGACTCTTTATAAGTGAAAGAGGGAGAGAGAGTCAGAAAAAAGACTTGATGATGGGGGCATTAATTCAGGTGAGTAGAGTGTGGAAATGTTCTTGTTGTTTAGTCACTAAGTTCTATCACTCTTTTGACCCCATGGACTCATTAGGCTCCTCTGAGCATGGGACTTTCCAGGCAAGAATACTGGAGTGGGTTGCCATTTTCTTCTCTAGGGCATCTTCCCAACCCAGTGATTGAACCCATGTCTCCTGCTTGGCAGGTGGATTCTTTATCACTTTAGCCACTAAGGAAGCCCAGAGTGTGGTGAAGCATTTCCCAGTTTTATCTAGTTACCAAACTGTGTTTTTTGAGTAGAGTGACCAACCGCCCTGAGTTGCCAGGACTGAGGGGTTTCCTGTATGGTGAACTTCTGGTGCTAAAATTTGAAAAGCCCAGGCAAAACGGGACAATTTGGCCTCTTCCTGAGCCACTAATGATACATAGATCATTGACCTAAAAAATGAACAATGTTGAAGTTGCTATCATCTCAGTAGGGTAAGATGCTTACTCTTGTTGCCACACATACCACACTTCTCTGCTTGCTTTTTAATTCTAGAGTCAATCTTAACAGTTTTTGGCCTCTTTGGGGCCAAGGTTTCCTTTGTTCCTTGGTTTCTCTGCAATTACTGAGCATTTACTCTTTGTTCAACTCTGTAGAAGTGCTGTGGGGGACGTCCTCCCCTCTTTTTCCAATATTAATTGAGTCCTACTCTGAATATGGTCCTGCAGGGAGGCAGGGTAGAGACAAATGAAACAAAATACTTTAACACATGAAACAGCCCAAATTGGCATGAGTGAGAACAGCTGGTGGAAATTCTGGGCTCTGAAGGTGGACTTGAATGTGGATAGGTGGGGATGGCTACAGTATCAGGAGATGGTTTCTAAAGTCATTGAAATAGGCCAGCAATTTCCCCCAAATCACAAAGGCCTTGGGTGGTTTCCCACATATGTTCTCAGCCATTTCTCTTGTAAAAGAACGTGTTATTTACCTACAAAGGGACTTGTGGTACAAGCTTCTATGCTGAGCCCTCAGGAGGGTCACAAGTATTGAATCTCTGAAGCCTAACACTCAAGAGGCTAGAGCAGAGGGATTACGGATCATCGAATTATAAGAGAAGCTTTAAGAAAAAAACAGTAACCAGGCAGATTCCCACACTCTATTCCCAACTGTCAGTATTAAAATCTTTAGAAGGAGGGCCAGCAATCACAAGCTCCCTAACATTTAGCATGATTCCGACCTACTGAAGGTAGGACCCACCAATCATGGCATGCCCCAACATGTTTCTTACAGAACACTGGTCCTGTGAGATGTTGCAGGGGAGAAGGTTTTGTGGTCAGCTAAATGAGTTTGTAGATGACGATATATTGTGGCTGGCTTTTGATGTTGTGCCACACCAGACAGCTTATTAAAGGCTCTGAAAAGCCCTGTAGTAAAGATACCTGTGTAGTTTTATTATTTATTTGATGAAATAGCATCAAGACACCAATCTGGTCAACTCTAACAACTCCTGGGGGAGGGCTGGAGAGCCAATACTCTTTCCAACAGGCACACGATTCAAGGGAGAGTGTGTGCACCAAGGGAGGGCTCGGGGGTGGGGGTGGGGGTGCAGACTTTTTTTTCAATTTATTTTTAATTGGAGGATAATTGCTTTGGGACAGACTTTTGCATGTGGATATCTTGGACTTGTTTCCTTCTACCCATCCTTCTGTTTCCCTCTTTTGCGGAGGGACCATGTTGGCAACTCACCAGGGAGAAGCACTGCCGACTGAGAGGAAGAGCGTGAACTTTGGAAGCCAAGGTCAGGAGTGTCCTGGGAATACCCGGGAAAACAGGTCAAACTAGTGTGCATGTGTTTGTTTGGGGGAAACACCAAGAAGATCTAGGCTAGGTCATGGCAAAAACTATTCTCTTTTTCCTGCATACAAGCCTTAAAAAGGCTCTTTTAGTCTCTTAACTACGTTTAAACAACAGTACCCATTCTCCAGCCATGAAAAGTAATGGATTGTTTACAGTACTTGAGAATCTCTGAGAATGGAAATAGAAAGGTGATTATGCAGCTTGTGTGACTAGCACAAGGAGATGAGACTGAGATAGCTGCAAAGTCCATCCTTGTAGAAAAAAACAGGAGCTTCCTTAAACCAAGATTGATAAAGGAGCTCAAATAAAAAGATTATGAAGTCAGTGCTTTGAGAATAAGCACCCTTGGAACATTACAAGGAAAGGAGAAGTACCAGAACTGTGTTGGGAGAATGGCGTGGCAATGGGAGTGAACTAGTTTGAAGAGAGAATGCCAAAGGTAATTTGAGTGGGCCCTTTACTGGAGAAGTTGAGTGGGCCCCAACATGGAGAAGTGTTGGGGCCAGTCTGAGCTGATGCTTCTGTAAATGATGTTTAGCTGTAGCACAAGTGATGTTTCTATGTTTCTAGAAACACTAGGCTCTCCTGCATGGTGAAATGCCAAGCTGGTGGTGATAAACAGCAGGAAGGGTGAGTGGGCAGAAAAGAGGCAGATGAGCTTCATCATGGTGAGAGCAAGGTGATACATTCTGGGAAAAATAAATGATGGTTATGAAAGATGACAGGCTCTCAGCTGTCAGCTACAGCCCAGAGAAGAGCTCTTGAGTATCAACCCAGGATGTGCTGTGGCAGAGAGGGGCTGGGGGACAGACTTGGCTCTTTTCTTCTTACTCTCAGGACTCGGTAACTTCTCTACCTCTGATTAAAGAGTGTGTGTAAAACATGTATGGCTGTATGGATAGCTGTGTCAAAATTATAAAATTATCTGTAATAGCCAGCGCTCACATGATCTCACTTCACTTCTGTAAATAGCTTAGGAAAATGGCAAGGAAGAGAGTAGGCTAAAAATTGTTAAGTAGAAGTTAGGGGTGGAGAGGGTACCGTGAGAAAAACAATCTGTGGTGCTTAATAAGCACCATCTGTCAAAGTAGGAGGCCCAGAGTACAAGGAAGCGGGGAGGGGAGTCCCCAGGGTGCGAGGAGGGGTAAGACCTGGGCAGAGGGTGATCTGTGGTTGTCCAGGTTTCTGGCGCTCAATCACTTACACCTCACT